CAAATTCTAAATCCACACTTATATCAATTCAAAATAGAAACAGCAAGAATCCCCTCATAATTAAACTTCTGAATAAATTAAATTTCCTCTCCAAAAACAAATTATATTTTGTTGGGTACTGAGTCAATCAGCATTCAGGAAAATGAAAAAGCCAACAAAGCAGTAAAGAAGTCACTAAATATGAAACTATCAAATACAAAAATCCCATACAATGATCTCTGACCAACCAGTAATAAGATTATTAAAGAAAAATAGGGTAACTGTCATAATAAACTACACAACATTCAGCCAATTATTGGTGAATGTTTCTCTAAGAAGAGAAGAGGTGGTTCTTGCTAGATTCTGTGTTGGACATACACATGCTACTCTCAGACATTTATTGAGAAATTAAGTCCCACCAATATGTGTACCATATCAGGAGTCATATACAGTCAGGCATTTCCTGTTAGAATGTTGCAGATTTTGGGAAATCTGAAACAAGTATGACAGAACAAACAATCTTAAAGAACATTTTGAAAATATTAAACCAGATAACATATTGCAATTTGTCAAAAATATTGGATTTTACAATAAAATATAAATAAAAACTTTAAAAAATGTCTATTTACACAAAAAAAAAATTACCTTCAGTCATAACTGACAAACAACAAAACTTTTTTTTCAACCATAACTGATGAACAATAAATCTACCATATTTGGGGAAAATTCTCCTTCAACCATACCTTAAAAACTATAAAATTTTCTTTCAACCATATCTGAAGAACTAAAAAACTTACTCTCATCCATACTTGATCAACTATAAAATATGTTTACAACTGTTATAGACAGGCGTATGGTTGCAAGAAAGAAATGCGACAACAACAGAAATAGATTTACGTGATTTATTTCAACAGGAACGTGTGGGTTTGGGACAGCTACCTTGTGGTAAAGTTCATAAGCCGGCTTCGAATCTGGGTTGATCTCTCATAGTAGTTCACACTGGTTGGCGCTGGCGCTCCCCCTGCTGACTGCTCAGCTTGACCGTGACAGGTCTCTTCCCTGGCCTCCTGTTGACTGCGTTGTACTTCCGTGTGACCCCTTTTATGGCGTTTTTTTTATGGCTTAACAGGCTCGAAAAACGACGCAAGTATAATTAGGAGGGAAGCATTTTTATTGATCGAAAAATAGAAAAACTTTAAAATATTTTATTTTTCGACCGGAACTCTCACGTCGGGAACATGCATAAACGAAGATAATGGTCATTTTGTGACGAGGCCTTGTCCTGTTCACATCCGGCTCTTGCTCTTGAGTATGTTAGTTTATTTGCCTGTAAATCAGCTGAGATATGTCTTAATTTATTTTATAACACAACTCAATCAATTTGGTTCTAAATGACTCATAAGAAGTTGATGGGGGCCATTAAACACAATCATATTCATAGACTCTCTGTTATGTTTGTAGTTCTGAAAGAAGGAGCGTCTTAGCATCCATATATCTTAGACATACTAGAAACCTATACTGAAATAGTTAAATCACAAAAATTGGTCATCCTATCTGAATTCCAAGTTATGTTGGTATACTAGGCAATGAAATAGCAGATAAACTAGGTAAAGATGCCTTCAACATGACAACAACCAACATAAAGAAACATCAAAAGAAAATGGCAATCAATATGGGACTCAAAACAACAACCTATACAATATTCAACCAACTATAACAGTGGCTCCTAGGTTTCAGAAAAATAAGAGAGGAGGAAATAGTTTAATCCAGACTTCGAATAGTATATACACATCTGACACCCTCACATCAACTTAAAATGAAACTGTCCCATCATGCAACAGATGTCAGCCAAACATGTACTTATAAGTTACCATCATCTCAGTCAAATTCAAACAAGATATTATCAAACAAACAATACAATAGAACTCTTTCAAAACACTAGACCAAAGAATATCCTTAACTTCTTAATGAAACTTTATACCAAAATATAAAACTATAAAAACTGTGTTGGAATGTGTCACAAAAAAATAAATGATTTTGTCTCTTTCTCTCCTGCTGTTGTAGTGATGGACACAGTCTCCACTTCTGAGACTGAAAGAAACTGCCCTTCTTCTCATTCCAGCCCTTTACATAGAGCTTGGTAACTCACCTATGCAAAATACCAACAAGCCAGCTACCAATCACAGTTCCCACGCCTGCCCACCTCCACTCACTTTGGGGGTGTCAAGTTGACCGACCAACTCATTACACCCCCCCCCCCCGATCTTAAGATCACAAAGCTTCTCAGTTTGAGAGATGGTTGCGTCTGTCTGGTGACTGCGTCTGCATATATACAATTTGCACACTTGACATATTGGGATAACCACACATGCGCGAACTCATTTGCTCCGAGGTGGCAGATTTCCAGATTCATCCCGTGTCTCGCTGTCATGATCGCACACCTCTTCTGCCCGGCACTCCTTCTGAGCGGGATGACAGGGTCCTCATCCTCGGATGATCTCTCATCCGTTGAGCTACCATCCGCCTCTGGACAGCTGACCACGTTGACGTCCGTAGGTAGAGTACTGATGTTTGAGGTAGAACTCAATGGATCCGACTTTAAATACACCACATGCGCACCATCTTCAGAGTCACTTTCATCATCTGATGACGGTTTTAACCCTACAACTGGCTGCAAGTCTTTAACATGACGAGGCACGCCATCAACCTGCACTGACTGCAGGCTGATAATCTCGGTAACATGCCCCATTCTAAACTTCCGTGCACTTGCTGTGCTGGGTCTTAACCCACACTCACGTCACCAATTCTGTATTTAGCTTATGCGTTGCTCGGAGCCATTGCAATGTCAATACCTGTGGCCCGTAAGTGATAGGCGTGCACCATGTTAGCCGGTGCTGTTGTAGGCGAAACATCGCATTATACCAATAGACTGCTTCGGGGATCAAACATTGCTTCCTGGCTGCAATCACTTTTATAGGCCGGTGGCTCCTTTCTACTATACCGTTTCCCACCGGCATGTAGGCGCACCGGAACCGAAGCCACACACCCCACTTCTTTAAGAACTGCGAGAATTGCTCGGAAGAAAACGCTGCACTATTATCTGTCAATATTTCTGCAGGTGGCCCCCGGTCGTAAAAGATGGACTCCAATTGACGTATTATGCTGGCAGTGTCTTGCTGGTGCAGTAGTCGCCAAATGGCAAAGCGAGAGGGTCCACAGTCAATAATAGTCAAATAGTGCTGGCTGCCAATATGTGTAACATCTATCCCCAGCCTGTTCCAAACATGGGTAGTACTCAAGTTTCCTTTTTGCCATTGCACTGGTGCCGGGCCAATTGACTGGCATGCCTCGCATCTCTGCACTACTGTCCTAACATCCGTCTTTTTGACTGCCGGGTCGACCATCTTCGAGAAGTAGAGCATCCGTTTAATCCCAGGATGCCCACACTGTTCATGTATGCTCAATGTCACTTTTCTGTTCTTTGCTCAGCTGCCTATACACAGCAAGGGCACTACTTTTCAATCGCAGTGGAAGAATCCGTTCAATCTTCGTGATCTCGCATAATTCACAGACCAGTTCCACCCTTTCGATCCATTCAACCACAGACTGTCCACTCGTATCACCACTGAATTCAGAGATCAGTTTTATGTCGAACGGTCTTTCCGCCATCTAGAGACAAAGTATATGCCGAAATAGCTTGTGTTGGAATGTGTCACGAAAAAATAAATGATTTTGTCTCTTTCTCTCCTGCTGTCGACCGACCAACTCATTACAAAATATAAAACTATAAAAACTACCAGCAAAAGTACATAAAACCTTTTAATATGTTTTGAAAACTGAAAAAAAAGAACCATTCAGACTTCATAAAGATCCTCATTAAAAAATAACAATGCAAACTTTAATAATGTATGTATCAGAAACTGAATAAGGTGTTGATGCTGCATGTATCTGTAGAGCAAACTTATTGGCTGAGCACATTCCATAAATACTCATTTGGATTGAGGTTAGAAGAGTTTGGTAGCCATGGCAACACATTGAAGTTTTACCTGTTCTGGAAATCATTTCCATATAATGTTATTCTGCTGTATCAATACACTATCGTTTGAGAAGATTTGCCATGAGGGTGTGTATTTAGTTGTTAAATGCTATTACAAAGTAGAACATTACTCCAACCATTGTACTGCTTCCATCCTGTTTGTTTCTTCACAGTGGGGTCTGATGCTATTTCCTCCCCATGACAGCACATGTACTTTGTCATCCACTTTACTGAGGAGGATGCAAGGCTTATTGGACCAGGTGACCTTCTTCCATTGATACAATTCCAATAATCACATGTGCACTGAAGACTCTTTCAGTAATGGACATTGGTTAATATAAGTATCTGCAGCTACATAGCCCCATATACAACAAGAATCAATGTACTATTATGATCCATCCCTTTTTCTTCATCTTGATTAAAACTATCTGCAATTTGTGCCATGGTTGCCTTTCTGTTGGCTTGCATTTGGTAGAAAGGCCTCCTCTCTTTACAAATTGCCTCATTGGCAATTGATTTTTTTTCTTTCTTTTTATAACACTGCTGATAGGTACCTCACAAGTCATGTTGCTTACGAAACACTCTGACTTAGATTTCTGGTCAAAACACTTAGGTTTACTCAAATCTTTTTCATAACTGGCATTCAGCACAATTAATACCTGTGCTGATTTACCTGTTCTATATACTTCTAACGCTGACATAGATAGTTCTTATGCGACACTGTCATTCTTACTTTATATTGCTGTTCATGTTTATCAATATATATTTGATTATTTTGTAAATTTTCAGTCTGTATTTTTATATTTGTATAAAAGAGCTTTTCAAATTTTTATAACCCAAAGAAATGGAAGTATTGGATTTTATTTAAACAATATATTAAATCACCTTCCAATTCTATAGCTTTATCATTTCCTTTTATTTTCACTTCTATTTGAAAAAAATCATTTTAAGTTCAACATATTGATAGCATTATTTTGTATTTCAGGAAGAACAGCAATCTCGTCAACGACAGCTTTCTATGGATGAACGACAGTGCAAATCCTACCTCACTTTAGCTACAGAAACTGTAGAAATGTTCCATTATCTCACTGAACAAATCATTGGTCCATTTCTTACTCCTGTAAGTTATTATTTGTTTAGTTTTCTTATCTTTAAATGTTTTTGATGTAATGGAATAACCTGGTACCCGCATGAGTGACTACACTCTAGGTAGCAACTACCTATAAGTATCCGTAAGGCAATGGACTACATGAAACTTGGTGGGAATCAGTTGATTATGACTCCAACTTACTTGAGAACTATTCAACCTTCCAATAGCAGCACTCACTACGGGTTATCACAATAACCCTTTACTTATTTATCCACCATGCTTTTCCAGTAATATTCCTATTAGCATGGAATATAACTGTTTTATTTTGTGTTTTTAGAAAATAAAAGCTCAATTGTTCCACTTGTAAATCAAAACTAATCTGAAAATTCTGAAAGAACTGTGAAAATGAAACTTTACGTCAGAATGCCAATGACTGGATGTTTCACAATACTTTTAATTTCAATTGACATTAACATTTATAAATAAATCCCTAGAAAAAAATAATGCAAACACTTGTGTTATGGCTTTTTACATTTTAAATGAATTAACTAAGGTCTCATTTAATGTGGAAAAAATTTAAAGGTAAGATATAATTTAAAACAGAACAAAAACCTTTGCTATCAGGTCATCCCATAAGTTCTATCCGAATTTTAACTTTTTGTTAAAATGAACAAAATTTAAAGAGTATTTTATAATGTCTAATGGAGCTGAACATTTTTATGTTTAGATGCATTTAAACTGATCAAATTTTATTTCAGAGAACAATAAAATTAAATTTTGTTTGATTAAAACCCTGCTAACATGGAAGTACCCAAGAATCATTTGACGCACATAATGCTTTATGAGTTCAAGAAAGGAAACTCAGCAGCCAAAGCGGCTAGAAACATTCACTCAGTTTATGGAGAGGAATGTGTGAATGAAAGAACTTGCAGAAGATGGTTTGTAAAATTCAGAGGTGGAGATTTCATCCTTGAAGATGAAGATCAAACCGGACGTCCAGTTGAGCTTGATGAAAAGCTTCTTGAAGCAGCCCTTGAAGAAAATCCTGCTTTATCAGTTGAGGAATTGGCAGTGGTTCTCAGTTCAAACTATACAACTGTTCATCGTCATCTTTAACAACTTGGAAAAGTTCCTAAACTTGGAAAATGAGTGCCGCATGAATTGTCTGAAAACAACCTCAAATCCCAAGTTGACATCTGCTCTTCTCTCCATTCTTGCCAACTTGTTTCACCTTTTTTGGATAGACTTGTGACTGACGACGAAAAATGGATCTTTTATCAAAATGCTAAGCGTCGTAGACAGTGGCTTGGTAAAGGGGAAGGACCACAGCCGAGAAAGGAAGTTCATGGGCAAAAGGTTCTTCTTTCAATCTGGTGGGATCGCCAAGGAATAATCCATTTTGAATTCTTACCACCTAATGCAACAATTAATGCTCAAATATACTGTCAGCAATTAGAGCATTTGAACCAAGCTTTGAGGAAAAAAAGACCTGCTCTAGTGAATCAAAAAGAGGTGATGTTTCATCAGGACAATGCGTGACCCCACACAGCAAGAATCATGTCACAAAAGATCGAAGAACTTGGTTTGGAGAAAATTCCTCATTCACCTTATTCTCCCGATCTTGCTCCATCAGACTACCATTTTTTTTGTAGCTTACAGAATCATTTGGAAGAAACAGCTTTTGTAACATAGGAAGAGGTTAAAACTGACATTTGTGAGTTCTTCGAATCGAAGCCAAAAGAATTTTACAGTAATGGAATTAGTAAGCTTGTTAATAGATGGAAGGAAGTCATAGATAATCAGGGAAAATACATTGTTGATTGAATCTGTAATTAAATGTAACATTTGGTCACTTGTTTTCTTTATTCAAAATTCGGACTGAACTTATAGGATGACCTGATATATATAATGTTGAAAATTTTGTGTTTGCTAAATGTTTTAAAATGTAATTATACAGGGTGTCCATAAAGTTCTGTGGGGAAAATTGTGAAAATGGCCTACCTCAGAAACACCTGCAAATCTGTGCGATGTGCAAACTCCGGTTTGCTCAACGGTAAAAAGAAACAAAAATGGTGGTGCCCATGTTTTATGCCAGACGGTCTCGAACAGTTAGCGCGAAATCTCGTTGTCTCATCATTCGCATGCAAATCGTGGTCAGTCCTTGGATGTATAAAGCAGGCGCGTTTTTGTTTCTGATCACTGGGTTTTTTTTTTTGCTCGTGAGAAGGTTGGACGTGTGACACTGTTTTGTCGATTACCCTCCTTGCGGGTTTTTTCCTATCTGCTACGATCAGTTGAGTCGTCGTGTTACTACCACAAGTTCGTGTGCACTTTTAAAAGAATTATAACTCTAAAGTGCACACGAACTTTATGGACACCATGTATTTAGTGTACCTGTGCCATCAAAATTGACGGCAAGAAGGAACATATAATTAATATGTATTAAATTGTAATTAATTTTCATTTAACCCAAGTACAATTTTGTAATTTAAAATAGTTAATGTTAATAAGTGAACTGTGTACAATTTATAAACACCTTTGGAAAGATGTCCATATTTTATCCTCATTATGTGTGTGTGTACGTACACATGCATATCTTTTTTATGCATGCTTTTGTAACACATCTTGGGTGTTCTTGAGGCAAATTTGCTGAGAAATTAGAATGTTATCATCCAAGACACCTTGAAGAAAAGCAACTTTATGTGAAGTTTAATTCAAGTTGAATAAAATATAAACCTCAGCCAAGTTTTGTCTGACATAAATTTATCTCCTCTCTCTCTATCTATTCTAACCCCTCTCTCTTACTCTCATTCTTTCTTTGCAGTTGTGTATCTGTTTCTTCTCATGGCACAGTAGCTTTTTGTTTGTGGATGTGAATGAGATCATGACTTCTGTGCATTGCATGTCATGATTTAGGCACACTGCCCCTTAATTGTTACACACACAAAAAAACTTAAATATAAGAATATTCACATTTATCTATTAACTGAAATAGATTTATAAAAACATATTCTATATTATTTACCATATTTTTATATTTTCTTTCAGGAATTAGCTGATAGACTTGCAGCAATGCTGAACTTCAACCTTCAGCAACTTTGTGGCTCTAAATGCAAAAACCTAAAGGTTAAGAATCCTGACAAATATGGTTGGGAACCTAAAAAATTACTCGACCGTCTCACAGATATTTACTTACACTTAGATTCAAGTGATGAATTTGCTATAGCTATTGCAAATGATGAGGTACAATATACTTTTACTTTGCTTTTCCTTTGAAATTAAAACAATATATAATATTTGTTTTTCATCAGTAGTTAAAGCTCCTTTGTTTCTCTTTATTTTTTTCTTTGTAGCGTTCTTATCGTAAAGTTTTATTTGATGATGCTATATCCAGGTTACAAAAAACCTGTATTAAAACTGATCGGGATATTGAGCAGTTTCGCCAACTACAGCAGAAGGTTGAAGCAATAGTTGATCAGAAGCAACGTGCAGAAATTGATTTTGGAGAAATACCTGATGAATTTAAGGGTTAGTATTCTTTGCCTGTTAATTTTTTTGCAACAATAATTGCAAAATTAAATATTTTTCCTATACTCTATATTACTTTTTATCTATTTTTATTACAAAAACTTGATGACTTGAAACAATATTAGATCTGTAATAAACTGGGATTTATTTAGTGTTTAGTGTAGATCTAGTTTTAATTTATATTTTTTTCCTTCTATTTAGAAGAAAAAATAATTAGGTGTTACTACTACTAATTCCTTTGTCTATATTGAATATCAAAACTTTTATTTCACAAGAAAATAAGATTAAAGAAAATAATTTTGAATAACTTGAGTTCTTTTATTTACTAAGTTTGTGCAAGGATAAACTTCAACTTTTAAATCTCAAGATATATAATCCCACAAAAAGTAGTGAGTTTTAAATCTAATGGTTTTTAGAGTATTTTTCCCATAAAAAATCTGGTACTGATAAAACTTCACTGAATGGTGATTTGGCTTTTAAAATATATACCTTGTAAACTATGAAGTGGTTATTGTTTTATACCCTGATACTTATTTCATGTAAAAACTACTATTATGTTTCAAATATTCGGTTTATGGAGTTATAAAAAAATATATGGGAATTTATGTAATTACCCTAACATACAATATGACAGCTTATTTTGTTAAGTCTGTATTAATATTAGGTTTCATATTTGAGTTTTGCTTTTTACCATCTCCAGTTATTGTAATTGTAGCTTTTTTCACCTCCTAGTTTTGTAAATTTCTTCAGTTTGACTTTGTCATAACAAAGACGCTGACACCTGACAAGGTAGATAACTCTAGTACAGCTAAAAAAAATAAACATAAACACACGGCTTTATGCAATCCATTTCTCCACTCCATTGATATGTTGTAATATTACATCAACAAATTCTCAACTGTATTTTCACGCATTCAACAAAATTTATTGTTCCTCATTAAACCACAAACTTACTTCTTTATACTTATGTGTGCTGATGAAAAATGAGTAGAATAATTGGTTGGAGGTAGAAAATTTATAGAAATTTAATTTAGATTAATAATCTTTTCATGCATAAAAAAATAAATGCTTTTTTTGAGTTACTTACTGTGGGTACTTTAAAAATAATATTCCCTACAAGATGGAAAAGCAAATCATTTTAAGAATATTGGTGGCGCTTGTTAACAGAAAACTGTTTAAGTTTATATTTCTCCCTACCCCCGCATAAGCTTAATGCATTTTAAACAGAATTGACATGTCTCTAATTTTTTTTAAGTTCCATTAGAAAAATTAGAAAGTTTACAGGTTAAAATAAGGTGTAGTGGATTTTTTTCATGGATATTCCTATAGAAACAAAAATTGCTACTATGGCTTCATAACTACAAAAAATATCACAAGAAAAATCGGAAATTTTTCTTTTAATTTAATTCAAAGCTGAAAATTAAATATTTCTGGCAGACAAATTACTACAGTCTAAGAAAGTTTAAGCTTTGTCAGTTGGGTTTCTATCTGCCACAAGGTCTTTGTGTGAGTTTGTGTATCAGTGAATTATATATATATGTGTGTGAGTGTGTCATTTCATTTACAAATAATAAAAATTTTGTGTTTTTGTTTTCATAAATAATTGAAACAACAGAACTATAAAAATGCTTATGACAAATTAACAAGTTAGTAACTTCTGCTCTAATATATATATACATAGTATATCACTAAACATTTGAATTTGAAGGAAATTTTGTATTATCAAATGTAAAATTGACCATTTTTCAATCAAATCAATTCTACAGACTTCATTTTGAAGGAATGATTTTCAATTTTAATAAAATCAAATTTGTCATACTCAGCTTTAATGAACTTTCATATTTTGCTAAGTTTAAGGTTTTTTTTCAGTAAACCATTGATTTTCAGTGCATATGAAACAGCTGGATGAGAAAGTGAGACTGATTAAAGATATCCAACTTGGTGAATTTGATAAAATAAAATTTAACAAAAAATTGAAGTTGTAAAATTTTATGGTTGCTGTCTGAGTGAGGGAGATATTACTTTTTTTTTTAATCAGTTAATACTGAAATACTGATGGTATTTCAGTATTAACTGCTTAAAAAAAAGTAATATCTCCCTCACTCAGACAGCAACCATAAGATTTTACAACATCAATTTTCTTATTTTTGGAGGAGCAAAAAGAATGGGTTATCACGCCTTTGCTCTTATAAAGTGGAGCAGCTGCTATTCCTTGTGAAAAAGTATCATGCTCCATTCAGGAGGGTCTCCTTAAAGCCTTATACATATACAGTGTGCAATGAGTAAATTGTCACCATTTTATATTTTTAATTTCTCACATGCGCATTGTTTGTTTTTGATTTTGTCAATTGCACAGTATAGTAGGGTCAGTTGGACACCATCTGTGAGAAAAAGAGCACCATGACACAATTCATTCTGCCAGAAATTTGTAAATAGTTTGCTGTACTGCTTGGCATTCATAAAACAGGAAGCAATTAACAGAGAGATTAATGAGTTATAAAAAGGTGCCTGACCATCAACAGTGAGGAAAAAAAAACAGCCACTGAGCTAAAAATTGATGATAGTCAATAAGTTGCATAAACAACAAGCATTTATCTCAGTGAAGGACCACAAAGAGGATTTCCCACACAAACCACAATATCAATTACTCCATCAACCAAAAAATAATATTGGTAAAATAACCAAGGTAATCCTCAAAAAAGCCTGCAGATATCCAAAAAATGTATTAAGAATTAACCAGTGGTGTAATAAACCTGGCGCCATTGGTTGGTTCACTAAATTAATAAAGAAAATTGAATGCTCTTTTATACTATTTGATATTTACAACTTCTACTCAACTACCATTGATGGTTGCGATAAATCCTGCTGCTAATTACTGCCCTATAAACAACCAGGACATTAATATCATAAAACAGGCCCAAAGCCCATTCTGTTCCATGAAGGTTGCTTTTGGACTAATCATAACAACTCAGATTTTTGCATTGCTATGGGTGCGTTTGACTCGGCAGAAGCTTGTGAATTAGTTGGTATTCTGCTACTTTGAAGACTAAGGTTCATCTTCAATATTAATAACACCAGACTCTATAGAGATGACGGTATAATACTCCTGCATAAAGAAAAAAAAACAAAAATACGAAATGACTAAGAAAAAGCCTGATTAAATTTTTTAAAGAGCACGGTCTGAGTATCACTACCACCACTAATGCTAAAGTTATCAACTTCCTGAATGTAAACTTGGACCAATCTAATGGACTTTATAAACTATATACTAAAGATTTATACAACTATAGATATGTCAACAAACACTCTAACCACCATCTTAAAATTCTAAACAATTTACATAAATCAATCTAATTTAGGCTGTCCACCAACTCCAGTAACAAGGATATTTTTGATACGTATAAAAGCAAATATGTAGAAGCCCTAAAACAAAGTTAACCATAAAGTAAATCTAGAGTTCTTAGATACTAACAAATATGATGTTAACAAGCCAAAACACTGTAAACCCAATATCATATGGTTTAACAACAATGTCAAAATTTTTCTTGAATTTACTTCATAAGCTTTTCAGTCATTACCCAAATTTAAAAAAGATTTTCAAAAAAAGAAAAACAATGTTAGCAAGTTGTGCTAAAATATTGCCCAACATATATCACAGCACAACAATGTTATACTACACAATCACCTAACCAACCTACAAGATAAATACACTCCCATAATTAACCTTTACCACACTAATTTTTTTCTAAAATTGTTCCCCCTGCCACCACATTTTCTTTGAAGGTGCAAAAACATGAATATCTGTTTTAAAATTGTTATAACTTTCTTTGTATTGTGTGTATAGATTTTAATTTTTGCACACGAATAAAAGAATGAATGAGTAATATTTTGATGTAATGCATTACATTTTGCATACATGTTTTGACGTTGAAAACAAAAAAACTGAAATGCAAAATAAAAAACTCAAAATAAAAAACAAATTAAAAAATACATAAATAATTCAACATACTTTAACTTTTATTACTCCTTGTGGAATTCTGGAGGTGCAATAAGAAGCAAAATCGCTAAGAAGGCTTTCATTTTGTCAAAAATGCAATGTGTTTCCTCATGTTCATATATGAGAAGACATTAGCATTTGTTAGCTTTTTCTTTCACCTGACTCATATTTATGCCTTGTTGAGGAATAAAGTTATTATTTTGTTGTTTATAAATAGACAAAATAATTCACCTTCAGAAAGTCTATCACGTATAACAGTGATCGCCAGTAGCTTCCATAAATTAGTTGAGCATGTATGATAGTACCTGCTAGTGATCATTGCTTTCCTCCACAACCACTTCATCGTCAATATCCACTCAAGTAAAGCCTTCAAAATCATCATCAGAGTCATAATCAAAGAAAAACTCCTGAATAAAGGCTTTGTTGGATATTGATGCAACCATTTTTGTTTACAAAAAATCGCAAAAAAAAATAACATAGGTTTAATTGGTGACACACCTCATGTAGAGTGTAGAAGAATTCAAAATGGCATTAGAAAGTAGAAGTTTAACTTGTCCAAAGCTGTAGTAAGCAATTTCCAGCTTAAAATACCAGAAATAACAGTTGACAAGTGTTTATTAATAGCAACCGTCTCAAGGCAAGAGAATGTGCCCAGAGCAGCAAAGGTAGAGAATTCTATGGCAACAATTTCCGCCTGCAGCATGGTAAGGATTAAAGAATGCAACTGCCAAAAAACAAGACCTTCCAGCTGAACATCAAGTGCATGACTAAAGGCATAATTTATAGAGCTAGTATCAAACATGAATGTGAGGTCAAATTATATTTTGGTTCAACTGAAAACCACTGGAAATCCCGTTTCTACCATCACCAAATTACATTAGACAATATTAAATATAGTAACATCCCTCTGTAAATTTTTCTGGGAAATAAAAAGTGGTAATAGAAACCCAACTATCACCTGGGATTACGTAGCAAAAGCCAAACCCTTCAGTGGAAAAGGTGATAAATGTAGTTTGTCTTTCGGAAAAATTAATGATTTTAAAACATTATTGTAATTTGTTAAACAAAAGTGAGTAAATCATTGCATGCATGCATAGAAACAAATACCTACTCAAGCACATTCTCAGATTAATATAGTTTTCTTACATTGAACACCACACATACTAGTATTAATGTTGCTATTATTACTATATTATTAATATTAATATTTTTATTATTATACTAGCAGCATGGCCCGGTGTTGCCCGTGCTTGATTCAAAAATCGTACAACTCATACAGCAATCACTATCACTTGACTTAAAATATTTTTGCCCCCTTCCTTGCCTTTAAAGGAGTGCCCTTTGCCATGCTGATGTTGCTACATGCCTTACTTCTTGCCTATCTCACACTGCAAATTTTTTATAAGCTCTATACTAAACATTAAATCTGTTACGAAAAAAGAACTAAACAAAATGAACACAAAACGATCAGCTTTAAAAAAGGACTCATAACTGGAAAAACCAAATGAGAAAAAGAATGTTAACAACAATTACTTTTTCACACCCAACCCAGTTCTGTGGAATTAGAATCAACGTTGAGTTTAAGCAAGCAAATGAGCCAATTGGAGTAAAGAGCCATGCAGATTTAAATTTTTCCCACTTATGATGAATGCAGCTATCGATTTTTTTTTTTTTTTTTTTGCATGCTAGTTAACATTCGTGTCAGTCAGCTGTTGACTCTCACGCTGGCCAATAGAATCTTCCTGCCTATTCATGGCAGCCAGCTGTAGGCTCTGGCCAGTAGAAAATGGCCGCAAACTACATGAAAACTGCCGTAGTAGCATGAAAAAATCAATTATTTCCACTATCGATGGGAGTTGGGAAATGCAAAGTCAGTCTTGGCCTTCCTGCTAACTTTGTGCATGTAAATTTTGGTGCAAATCCGTCGAAAATTGCGGCCGTGCATTTGTTACACACACACACACGCACACACATCCTGCCTTTTATAGATAGATTATTAATGTTGTTATTATTACTATATTATTAATATTAATATTGTTAATCTTTTTATTATTATTATATTATCAATGTTATATTATTACTATGACATATCAATATTATTATCTGTTATTAATATTATTATTATTACTCATTAATATTACTATAATCTATTATTATATTATCATTACTATTATTATTTTATCACTGTGTACCTATTGTTTTTATTATTATTAATTTATCATTACCTATTTTTTAAGTGGATTACACTAGCAAAAAAGTTACTCCCCTTGATACTTAACATACTTTTACTACCAATGTTCTTAGATGGTAATTTTTTTAAAATAGAGACTTGAATTTCTAATTTTTAAATTTAAGTGTAAGTTTGAACCTAAATTTAAATTTAGATTATAGTGCAATTAAACAGCAGTAATAGTTTATCCAACTAACATCATGAAACTGCAAGACCCAGAAATATTATCCTGATTGCAAACAGTTCTTTTGTACCTGATGATTGTATATTGCATGAAACTATGAGTTGTACTGTTAGCATGGGGTATTATATATATATTTTTTATTTTGAATCTGTTGAATAAATCAATTACAAATTGCATTTAATGTGTAAGTATGAAATGCCATACTCCGTGAATTGTTTGATGAAACCTAGGTAAGAAATACCCTTTGGGATCCCAGTAATAGAAAATCATATCTTAAAACTTAAATTGGTTGATATGTACATGAATTGCAAATTTTAAAATATGTAAATGAAAAACATCTCATTTCAGTTAAATGAAAGCAATGTTGCATAGAATTTTTATTAGTAATAGACAGTTATTGTTTTGGCTTGTATAAAATATAGTACATTATATACACATTTTTATTTATCAGCACAAAATGGAAATTTGCAACTGATTTTTAGCTAAGAAACAATGTCTCCTTTTAATTATCTGGTGGCTTTTTTATTCAATAATTGTTTAAAACTAATTTCTGTCAAAGTGTACATTTATGAATTTGTATACTTTACATAATTCTATTTTGTGTGTTTTCAGATCCATTGATGGATACTTTAATGAATGATCCAGTTCTTTTACCTAGTGGAACCATCATGGATCGACCTATCATTATGAGACACTTGTTGAATTCCCAAACTGATCCATTTAATAGGCAAACTCTCACAGAGGAACAACTTGTCCCAGGTAAATAAAAATGTCTCTACCTTTTTTTATGATAATGTTTTTTACCTTCTCATTCATAATTTGTTATTTACATAACTGTTCATATCTGGATCCATTTATTATATCACTTGTTATTGTGGATTTTATAAGGTAAAGGCGCATTTCTTAGTATCTACAAGTTGATGCTTTGTTAGTAAGTTTCACTGGCATGTCACAGATATTTTTCAACTTAGCTCTTGTATTAAATCACCTTGCACATTTTCATTTTTTTCCTACTTCATTACAAGAATGAAATGATATGGTTCAATAAACTGTTGCTTGAACTATGAATGATTGGAGGACTTCTTAAACAGCTTTGCCATGTTTTCTGTGAATTTAAAATTTTATGAGACAACTCAGAATGTCTTCTTTTGTGTATATTTCAGCAACAGAACTAAAGGAGAGAATTCAAAGCTGGGTTCAAGAGAAGCGGAATAATAGCCAAAGCAATTCCTGAAGTTTTCGCCTTCGACCTTGTGTTCCTCTTCACCTATCTACTGCAGCAATGACCCCATCAAATATTGTTATTTTGTTGATCAATAACAATCTGAAAGCAAGGCGCATGCATATCTGTGTATGAATGTACCTTCTCCCCATTGAAAGTGTGTTGGGACTGCAGCATCAGTTGGTACTAACAATTCAATTCCTCTTCAGTGAAAACAGCTACTCTTACCAACATTCATCTGTCAAACCAGCCAGTAAGCCAGTGATGTCCACACCTAGCATGTTTTTGTGTGTGTGTGTGTATATATATATATATATATATATATATATATATATATATATATATACACACACACACACACACTTACACATGCGTGCACACACACACACACACACCCTGTGATATTGACAATACCAGTTTGGAATTACTTGTACAGTTTGGCCACATCACTGTTGCAGTCTTTCATGAGGTGTTTATCTTTCATTCAGATGAAAATGTGTAGCTGATATGAATAAATTTTCTTTTTAAATTATTCACCACTGAGTATTTGAATGCTTATAAAAACCTTTAATTATCAGGACATTTATTTAAAGGTTTATAAAACTTCATTCTCTTGATATTTAATACTTTCTGTTTGTCATAAAAATTAAAATATTTTGAAATACCATAAAGTGGGGTGCTTTTGTAGAATAAATACTATTCAAGCAAATGGAACACTTGCTTTAATATATTAATTTCTAGTGTTAAAATCCATTCACAAAAACATTACCTGATTTCCAAGAAAATGATCAAATTTGATTAAGTGAGTTAAGACATTTTAACAGAAACATCTACATTTCCCTTTTATTCACATCCTACATAAGTTTTACTTAAAAATAAATTTTGCACTTGAAATTAATTCCACATTGTTTATATTGTAATTTTAGTTCAAAGCATAGAGAAGTGTTCCTGATTTAAATCCTTTTTTTCTTTTTAAAAAACTTTTTTAAACGTTCTTTTTGTTTACAAATTCTGAATGAAATTACATGAAAACTATTTTAAAATTCTTTATATGGCTGCTGTTATAAAATGATACCTTTTATTTGCAAATGCAATGCAAGAAATAGAACTACAGACAGATTTTAGTTAAAGTAACAATCCCTACCAGCACCTTTCTAGTTTTTGTTATTTCAAAAATATTTTGCGGGTTACAGTGAAATCTGATTGACTGCTAAATTGTAAAATGTACTGACAGTTGATTTTTTTTTTTTTTAAACTTCTTTTTAATAATAAACAGATGTGCTGCATGACTCAGTTTTTGTCACTCTCCTCTCTATCACTTGAAGTATTTATGTGAACTCGCAGTTAAAAACATTTGTTACTTTTTATTTTCAGTTTGAATTGCTTTTAGGTACTGACATTTCCCACAATTCAGTTGTGTAAGAATGCAATGAGAGTACATATATATATATATATATATATATATATATATATATAATATTGTAACAGCAAAACTGTCCAAATCATGTAACACTGAAATTGTCCAATTGTTAGATTAAGCTCTGAACTGTTGTATCTTAGAAATGATATCTTACTGGAATTCTCCAAAGTTTTTATAACACTACTGGACTCTTTGAGCAATAAGAATGTATAATTACTTTCTAAGCTTAACAGAAGTATCATGATGAAATCAATCATAAATGACATGGTCATCATTAATCAATCGCAGCTAAGGATTGAAAGCTCATGAAGTAATGAAATACTGTTCACATATATATATATATATGTGGCACCTTGCATTATTAGAAATATTCATAGAAATATGATTTAATTTTTTTCTTATTAGGTTTACTAAACAGGTTGTTGATTTTTTTTTAAAGCGGAAAATAATTGAGTTGAAAATAATTCACTAAGATTGTACTTGGACGATCCTAAGGGAAGAAGAAGGAAGGGGAAAAGAGAGAGGTCGAGAAATACAAAAAAAAAAAAAAAGCGTCATTAACAAAAACACGAGTCAGAAAGATATCTTAGCTAGCATGTTGACCGGATTTTTTTAAAGACAATTGGAAGAATAGAATTAGAAATAATAAGAAGAAAGAAAGGGAAAAAAAGACATGATATCAAAAGCGGGCCGCTTGATGGAAGCCAGATATCGGTCAAAGCACCTAGCCTACTTTTGCATGGAAAGACACCTTATCAATTTGGATAAAGAGAAAATTTTGAGAACAATGAAACAATCTTAATCAGAGAAAAAAGTGTCTTTTGGGTTGAGGGGAGTGACCGGTGGAGCAGTATACAGGCTCTGACCTGTTAAAATTAGAACCCCACAATAATAAAGTGGAGACATTTTCAATGTAGATAATTAAGATTTTTGACTATCAGGAAAAACAAAGAGGTAAAAAGAGGACAATTGCTTTTGGCTCACAGAGGGCGCCAAGAAGGCGGAAAAGATCCTTTCTGAAGTCAAGTCTAATTAGCGGCGGGCTGTTTGACAAAGTCCAGGTGAGAGAAGGCCAAGATGGTCATTTTTAAACGCATGCGAAAAAAAAAGGAAAAATTAGATTTTGTTTTTTAGAACAAGAACGATATAAGCCCGCCCGATTGATTGCAGGAAACGCCCAATCAGGATCTCATTAGCGAAAAACGGTCACGTGGCTGCAGAAAAGAAAAGAAAGAAATGCTCAACCAGAATCCCATTAGCGAAAACGGTCCGTGGCTGCGGAAAAGAAAAGAAAGAAATGCTCGATCAGAATCTCATTAGTCGAAAGCGGTCACCTGACATACGAGAGACCGAGAGAGATGGATATCGCCTCCCCACCAAAAAAGCACTATGAGGAAGTAGGGGTGAAAACAATAGCGATAATGGGGAAACAGAATTAATGCGGCTATTGGAATTATCGAGAAAACCCTGACGCCGACAGACCCACCCCAGTTTGTTGCGGCGTCAATAAAAGCAGGACCCCAGTCGACAGAAATCAGTTGGAGTTGGAGTTGAGAGTTGCAGCTGGACCGCGGGCAGGGATAGAGCCTGAGCGCGGCCATCAGGCCCGATTCACTCCGCCCCTTTGGGGCAAGAGAATCCTCAGACAAGAAATCCTCCCAGCCCAAGTCGAAGACAGAAGAGTTCAACATCGGACGGCAGCGAGAAGAGATCACCTCGGACGACAGAGAGTTGCGGCTGAGTTGCGGCAAGAGATCCTTCCAGCCCAAGTCGAAGACAAGAGAACTTCCAGCCTAAGTCGGCGAAGAAGAAGAAATACAACCCAAGTCGAAGACAAGAGAACTTCCAGCCTAAGTCGACGAAGAAGAAGAAATACAACTCAAGTTGGAGAAAGAATCAACTGCGAATGATCGATAGAAATTAGCCCCAGTGTCGAACCAAACCACACTCCGACATACACAATTCTAAAGAGTAGGCAATTCAAATCTTTAGGTTGTGTGATAGAAGCTTGGTGCCATAGTCCACAGAGCGGGTCGGGAAATGAGAACAATTTTGTTTTTATGTAGCGGACATTAAGATATAAAGGGTTGTTACCCATTTTTTTCATCAGCAATCTTTTGTCTCGAGTTTATTTTCTCTTTTATTTGTGTTTTGCCACCCCGTCGGACTCAACTTGTATCGGCCCCAATCCCTGCTGGTCCCGTCTGTCTAAGATCTAAACACAGCGTGGGTAGACAGACCGGAGATCGGTACAGTTGCTTTAGTGACCAGGTATTGGGCGAAGTCGGGAAAGGCGAGGCTGGTGATCATCTGACCAAGGGTTGGAGCGGCACGCTTGGACCCAGGAGGAGCGACGTCACCGTTGGCGCCCGTAACCAAAGGATCCGACCCTGGGCCAGGTGTGTAACCGTCTAAAGTGGTGCCGTGACCAACGGATCAACCCTGAGACAGCCACGTCACATATGGTGCCGTGGTGGCGAGGGATTTCAACCCTGAGAAGACCACGATCGACCGCCATTGCTGAAAATTCAGACAGAACTCAGAACAACCCGGGACCAAAGGAAAAGAAAGAACAGAATCGTCTGTAAGGTAGGACACCTTGTTTTGTTTCCCAACCTCGATTGTTGCTGTATAGACTGTCTTTCTCTGTAGACATGTCAGATTATGATTCGGATAGAGCAGTTGGGGGTGAAGAAGAAGTAGGGCGGGGGGTTGTCAGTGGATCTAAGGAAGCTGTTGGGTGGACCGAGGGTCCCAGTATTTGATGGCAGCGGAAGGAGTTTAAAAACGGGCTGGCAATCCTCGAGAAGAGCAGAACCATCTACGACTCTCGGACCAAGAAACCCTGTATTTGGCATACGATGCCACAAAGGGAAAAGCGCCTGAGTTCGTGGGGGCTCTTGGAGAACCAACCCCGCTTGGTTTGGGAAGAAATAAAAAAACTGCTGACCAAAGAATTCGCCGACGAAGGTACGGCCATAGAGGCCATGAGGGCCCTTTTAAAACTGACACAGCTACGGGATGAAACCCGGAGAATTAGGGGCCCGAGGGGGAAGCTATCGTCATTGGCATTCCTGAAGTGGTCAGGGATAATCTTGGTTATGCAGGCTCAACTGGCGGACCTGTATGTAGAGGCGCCGAACGACGAGCGTGTTAATCACGACGTATTGAAAGAAGGACCGCTCAGACTGTCGGCAGCGATAGAGCTGGCCAGGGAGAGCCAGGGGGTGTGGGATAAAGTGAAGAGGTGTGGGAAGAAGCAGATACCAAGTCAAGAGGCTGGAAGAAGGGGGGTAGGCGGAAGAACCCCCGTGTGGAATCAGAGGGTTAAGGAAGAGGTGGATCGGGCAGAATTATGGGAGGAGGACCCCAATAGAAGGGCATGGTCGACCAGGCATGGCTTTTATAAGCCCACGCCGGGTCGACACGGGCTGGTCTGCTGGACCTGTGGATGCGAGGACCACAGGGCGGCGGAATGTCCGGCGGGTGGGGGTTGCCCCAGACTTCAATCAGGACAGATGCACCAGGTGTGGTAAGAAAGGACACCTGGCCAAGTGGTGCGGGCTGAGGAAGGGTGCCCCACCGATATTAA